TATTGGAAGGCATTTTGGGGAGCCAGAGAAGACTTAGCTAAAGGAACCAAGTTCTCTTGTCTCTCTGGACCCCTTGCTTTTTATTAACACAAATTGTCCTAAGGCAAAGTAGATATACAGATCAAAGGCAAGGTTTAGTACAGTGGGGCCTTGACTTACGAGTGTCCCTACTAACGAGTTTTTTGAGGTACCAGCTGTCTCTCTGCTGATTTTTTGCATTGAGTTGATAGAATAATTTGAGTTAACGTAAATCAAGGCCCCAGCTGTATACAGAATCCATTGTCTGATTGGGGAAACTGCCTACAGCTGTGCAGGTGTCCAATAGCAGGCAATCATCTATGCAAATCTTTAGGGGTGGGGAAATGCCCTTAGCCATTTCCAGCAGGCAATCCTCAAGGTTCCATCAACCTTTTGATGAAACTTCTTACATTTATGACAAACTGGAATTAGCTTTTGGCACCCAGCAGCAAGCTAACCTACTGGTGGGAGCATCTGGCCTCTGGTGGTCAGTGCACGTCATAGTGAGCGGTTGAGCAGCCTTAGCATATCATTAGCATATTATGCTTTGATTGATTGAATGGATGACCAGATGACCAGACATTTAGCATATTAGGCTTTTATTATATAGGATGGAATCATAAGTATGTATTTCTTTTTTGGGGGGAGGAGGGAGGCAGTCCTGGCTTCTTTCATTCAACATAACTACTTGGAGACTCATTCAAGCTGTTAAGTGCGTCAAAACTCTATTCCTTCTTATTGATGAGTAGTATTTCATTATGTGGATATATCACAATTTGTTTATCCATTCACCTATTGATGAACATTTGCTTGTTTCTTGTTTTTGATTATAACAAATAAAGCTTCTATGATCATTCATATACACATCTTTATGAATAACTTTTATTTCTCCTGGAAAATTACCTAGGAGTCACAATAATAAATGTATGCTTAACATATTTAGCAGTTTGAGAAATTGCCAAGTTGTATGAGAAAGCCAGTTGCTTCACATTCTCATCACTCAAATTGACCTTGGAGCATGTGTCTTTCAAAAAAATGGAAATGAATAATCTGGAAGAAAGACCCAGAATACATTAGGGTGGTGCAATCAGGAATCACAGCCAGATATTGACTGCTTAAACATCCCCCACCTTCACCCCCTGGAAACCAGATATAAGCCTCAGATGGCAAAGCTTAAATAAATGACTGAACAGGGAACGTGCTTATTCTCAGGTCATAATCATGACTTGAGGGCAGGATTGAACAGTTTCACGAATTGGCAAAACCAACTGTGCTGCGGCGCCAGGGGTGGGCAAACTTTTTGACTCAAGGGCCACAATGGGTTCTTAAACTGGACCGGAGGGCCGGAACAAAAGCATGGATGGAGTGTTTGTGTGAACTAATATAAATTCAAAGTAAACAGCATTACATAAAAGGGTACAGTCTTTTTTTTTTTTTTTTAGTTTTATTCATTTCAAACGGGCTGGATCCAGCCCACGGGCCGTAGTTTGCCCACCTGAGAAATTCATTGCTACCTTGGGAGTTAACATAACTAACTGAAGTCATCAAGAAAACTATATTCTACTATCAATTAATCGCCAAACACCAGGAAAATTATCATAGTTACCATTATCATTCAAAATAGACACAATCAAGTGGTTTTCCTGGGAACGGGTTCAGGAGCCAATTGCTTCAGCTCCATTGGAATCCCTAAGGAGGAAGAATTCTCACCTCTCCCTGCCTTACCAACTGTCAGACTCCAACCGCTCCTCTTCTGTGTAATCGGCCTTAAAACATATCCCAGATGCCAATGTTTGATGTCCAGGACAAACGATGTGGTAACTGCCTACCAATGCTTGGGGAAAAGTGAACCAGCTCTAGACTAGACTTAGGCACCGGGAGATAGAGGTTTGGGGAGATTTCCCAAAAACCGCAGGTGGCCAGAAGGGTTGTGGGAGAGCTGGTTGGATGGTCCCAAAGGCCGTGGACCCTAGATGGTTGGGGATCTGCAGTGTACCTGGCGCACGGTTCAACTTTTCTCCGTGACTGGGAACAGCAAGCTCCCCGCCTGCTAGCCTACGCAGGGCTTGGACTACATTTCCCAGAGGGCTTTGCTCCCGGGTTTTGATGTAAAGTACTAGGGCGCGGCAGGGAGGGGAAACCACGGTTGGTGAGCACCGCTGGGGCACCTCGCTGTGCTGCTGCAAGATGATTGGGGTCCTGCTCCTGCTCCTCCTTCTCCCCCTTCTCCTGTTCATCGCTGCACCCCAAATCAGGTCTGTGCAAATGTAATGTCTTTTCTTGCGAATCTTCGGGGGCGGGGGGACGAGCATCAATCCTCGCGGAAGCTCTGTTCTTCAAAAGAAGGAAAAGGAGAACTCCCCGGTGGGCTCCATGTGGGCCTAGGCCGGGTTCGCTTGGTCCGAGGGGGTCCGGCTGCCCTGGATGCGGGGAGGGCGACACCATCAGACCCCAGGCCGAGGGAAGGGATTGCATACCGGAGCACCCTGCTTTGTTTCTCCTGCCCGCCTTTTTCCTCTAAGCAGCCTTTGCTTCCGGCTCCAGCAAACCCCGAGTGCAGGGCTACCTCAGACACTTAAGTTTACAGCGTTGGGGGTTTCAGACCCCAAAATAAGGTGTGCACCTCGAGACTCTATTCCCTGTAGCCCTCACGCCTTGAACCGGCCCTATCTAGCCTCTTGCTTCCAGCCTGTAAAGTACAATGGAGCCATTCAAACTTCTGCTTTCCGAAACCGGCCTTTGATGGGAATCGTGACATCTGCCGCCCATGCCTGCTCTCTTGTTACTGTTAGATGCGCTCTTTCTCTGGGCGATGTTGTAAAGGAGAAAAAGTGTTGTCCTGCACCCAACCCTGTCCTTAGAGCAGGATTATCGGGGTCGGAGTCAATCCCTGGGGTTTCAGGGTGGGGCGGCGAGGACGCGGGTAGCGCTCCATTAACCTGGTGATGCATCAGGCAATAGCTGCTAAGTGTCCGCAGAGACTCAGCAGCGAGCTGCCGAGCAGGCCGCCTGCTGATTGGTCTGAGTAAATCACCAGTAGTGACGATGAACCAGTGCCTGGAAGGACACAGCCTCCTGAGGGCGGGTGGTGCAGGGGCGGAAGCTGGGATGCAGTCGCTGCCCGTTGGAACGTGAAGGCGCGCAAAATTTCACTCTTATTTCTTCTTGAATTCACCTCTTCTTTCCCCTCCTCCCCACCTTCCTCTGGCCCCTCATCCAGTTGTATTTTTCCTCCCCTCTGAACACTCAGTGCTCCTACCTTTAGGCACCCTTGGGTGCCCATACTCAGAAGACAACGGCTGCTTTTTTAAAAAGAGAGGAAGGGAGAGAGAGAGATAGAAACATCAATGATGAGAGAGAATGGCTGATTGGCTGCCTCCTGCATGCGCACTGGGGATGGAGCCCTGACTGGGAATTGAACTGTGTGACCTCCTGGCTCCTAGCTCCACGCTCAACCACTGAGCCACTCTGCTGGGCTGCTTTTTCTCTCTCCAACACCAGAACCTCGTATCTACATAGAATCTCAATGGAAAGTTGAACCTGAAATGAAAATAGTGCTCAGACCTCAGCGAGATGTTTCTGAGGAAGATTATACTCCAAGAGTCATGTTCCCAGCTGCCTAGTTAGGTCATGGGAGCTAGGCCAGAGCTGGTCTTTCATTCCAGCTGGTTCAGGAGAAGAAAGGCCTGAGTAGAGGTCCTAATACATTGTCCCTCCTGGAGCTAACGCTGAAGAGATGTGGGAAACAGAGCAGGGGAGGCTGACAACTTATCTGCCTTCTTTGCACTAAGCAGGGGAACTTTAGTGGTTAGGAGTGTGTACCTTGCAATTCCAAGTTCAATGTAAAAGGCTGAAATGCCTTTTAAAAATGCATCTCCTAGTGAACGGATTCTTTCAGTTTGAACTAAAAGATTTGCAGGGAAGAGAAAAGAACAATCTGAGGCCTGCTAATTACTGTTTGTATATTCATTTCTGTAGAAATGAAGAATAGTGCAGTGCTTATAAGGACAAGGACTCTAGTGAATTAAACCAGAACTTGAATCTCCGCTCCCTTTTGTACTTCTGTTTCCTTTTGTCTTATTTTTAATTGTGTGTGAGTGTTTTTCTGTTTGTTTTGTCCAAGGTTAACAAGATTTCATAATTTTAACTTTTGTGTTGGATTAGCTGTTTTTTCAAGGCCATTAAGTGCTAATTATAAACATATTGACATAAGTGGACCAGTTCTTTCTTCTTCCAGGCTGAGTCTTGTGATTCCCTAAAATTTAGGGAATTTTTAGGAAAATTTAGGGCCTAAGTCATAGAAGAGCTCAAACTGAAGCCAGTTGCCTGGCTAATCAAGTATTCATTCAGTTCTTGTACTGTAGGGAGTTGCTCTAATTATTATTGCCCTGTAATAGCCTCACTTTTATTCTTGAGTGAGGACAGAAAACTTTTGTTTTCTTTCCTCCGACCTTCCTTAAGCCTATAAAAGGACAGCCGTAGAAGGAACCAAAGCAAGCTTTATCCCTGAGATCTGAAGGCACGGGGGTTTGCAGGATCCTCTGGTTGAAACAAGGAAAATGAAGAACTGATGGGCTTTCCTTCTGTGTCTACAGGAAAATGCTATCCAACGGGGTGTGCACATCGACTGCCCAGCTTCCAGGGAAGGTGGCAGTGGTTACTGGTGCCAACACAGGCATCGGGAAGGAGACAGCCAAAGAGCTGGCTCAAAGAGGCAAGTTTATCTACTTCTAATTCTCTGCTGCCATTTTACCTTGCAATGATGACCATTCTCATTTATTTCCTCCCAATCCTGGAATTCAAGAACATTTCAAGTGCCCCACTGATTTGCTGGTGTGAGCAAATGCTCTCTATATAATGAGCACTTAATGAATATTGTTGATTAATCTTCTTTCCTCATTTACTCATCAGATGCCTCTGTTGTGAAGTAGGGATAAAATAAATAAAACAGTAGAAATAACATCCAGCATCAGTATCTATATATATAAAAACCTAAGCAACCGGCAGACCTTTTGACCAGTAGCTATGACGTGCATTGACCACTAGGGGGCAGACGCTCAACACACAGGCATGGAAACATGGAACAGACTGATGAATCTCAGATGGATTCATGCACCAGTGGGGTCCCTCGGCCTGACCTGCGGAGATCGGGCCAAAACTGGCTCTCCGACATCCTTCGAGGGGTCCTGGATTGCAAGAGGGTGCATGCCAGGCCAAGGGACCCCACCGGTGCACAAATCTGTGCACCAGGCCTCTAGTTAAGTCTATAATACCCACTCAACAACAGAGCTGACAGTTTGTCTCTTATGCATTGGTTGGCAGGAGCGCGTGTCTATATAGCTTGCCGGGATGTGCAAAAGGGGGAATTGGTGGCAAAAGAGATCCAGACCGTGACAGGGAACCAACAGGTATTCGTGCGGAAACTGGACTTGGCTGATACTAAATCTATCCGAGCCTTCGCTGAGGGCTTCTTAGCAGGTGAGTGCATAACCTGAGACTATGTTGTGGGTCTTGCAACTTCGCTAAAAGGAAAAGATCCCTTTCTGTCTGATATATAGAAATGCTAGATAAAATATAACAAAACAAAACAAAAACACCTTTTGATTCACAGCAGAACTCTGGTAACAACGGGAAATCCTCAAGAGGCAGACATATAAAGTGAATTCTGAAAAGTCATGGCAGTGAGTAAGAGCTAAAACCAAAAATCTCACAGGAGTGTCAGAACTCAACATGGGTGTTAGGGTCTGGAGATGAGGCCTTAGGCCCTTGAGAGCTGGGGAGCTGTATCTGAGGCTCCACATACGGAAGGTTGGGATTCGCAAAAGGCCATCGGGTCCATGGTACAGGAGCTTAAAAAAGCCCAGGCTACCAGCTGAGGAACATGACAAAGAAGCTTATCATCTCTTCAGGACACAGATGGGGAAAGAATCATCTTCAGGAAATTAGAACCCCCAGCTGGCATCTATGGGGCAGGGGGGACCTACACCTCAGAATAGTGTTAAGAATCTTAAGCTGAGAAATTAATGTAAAACCCTGTGGTATCACATGAAAAGCACATCCAAGAGCATTCTGTAGGCATAGCCTCTCATAACCCAGGAAGCTAGGACTCCCAAGGAAAGGAACTTGCAGCATAATGAGCTTTTAGTCAGAAATTACTAACCACATGAGAGAGGGAAACCTGAGAGAAAGTTGGCAGATGCAACAAAGAGGTGAAGCCAGTATTTCTTTTGGTGCCTGAATCCCAGTGGTGGGGGTGCATACAGAATGTCCTTTCTTCTCTTGTTTTGGAATCTTCCCATCCAGCTGGGAAGTCTTTCTGTTGGGAGAGGTGGGTGGAACACTTCCCAGAAGCAGAGAGTAAGTTTTCCTGAATTGGAAAGCTTGGAAAGGCCATTTGATAGTGTAAGTTGAACTTTTGTCTCGCATAGTAAAAGTATGGAAGATTCAACTACAGTCTTAGAATAAAAACAATACAAAATAAGTATGAAGGGAATGTGGAGGAAAGATTGAAGTCCTGCATCTCCATTTTCAGAGCCTAGGTGTGAGGCAGATTTCTAAGATGTAATAGCTATGGCTCCATCCCCTCTTCCCTACAGACGAAAAGCATCTCCACATTTTGATCAACAATGCAGGAGTGATGATGTGTCCCTACTCCAAGACTGCAGATGGCTTTGAGATGCATATAGGAGTCAACCACTTGGGTAAGAAACCTGGTCTCATCACAAAAGCTAGAAGGAGCCTGAAGTTCCCCTTGAAAAACTTAGGGATGAGATTGAGCCATCTCTATAGTGTGTTTAGACCTCTCAGCCATAATAGACGGTCTATACTAATAAAAGGATAATAGGCTAATTAGACTGGCTGTCTTCCGGATGTCCTTCTGGACAAAGTCACGGTGGCAGGGGCTGAGGCAGAGGCAGTTAGGGGTGATCAGGCTGGCAGGGGAGCAGTTAGGAGCCAGCGGTCCCGGATTGCAAGAGGGATGTCCGACTGCCAGTTTAGGCCTGATCCCAAGGGGGTCCCAGATTGGAGAGGGTGCAGGCCGGGCTGAGGGACACCCTCACCCATGCACAAATTTCGTGTACCGGGCCTCTAGTCCTATATAATAAAAGGCTAATATGCAAATCAATTGAACAGCAGAATGACTGGTTGCTATGACGTGCACTGATCACTCAACACAGGAGCTGCCCCCTAGTGGTGGTCAGTGCACTCCCACAGGGGAAGCCTCTCCTGCCTCCACGACAGCACTAAGGATGTCCGACTGCCAGCTTAGGCCTGCTCCCCCTGGGCCTAAGCCATCAGTTGGACATTCCTCAAGGGCTCCTGGACTGCGAGACGACTCAGGCCTGGCTAAGGGCCCTTTCCCCATGAGGGCACGAATTTCGTGCACTAAAATATCATGGTCCTGCCTGAAAGCTCAGGGGTAAACTTGAGGCTCACTCAATTCCACCACGTTTTAATCTGTGATTCAGATTCCGTTTACCGTGGGGCATTTTTGAACAGCATAATTGTATCGAGGGTTGTGTTGCATTCTTTGTAGTGACCCTTGTGGCCAGCCAGATAGAGGCTGCCTGCTCTTAAAGAGTGATGTTACTCAAAGTTGGAATGAGATGGGACTTCATGTTCATATTCACATAATCCAGACCTACCTCATCCAACAGTGATTTTCAACTTTTTTCATCTCATGACACATATAAACTAATTACTAAATTCTGTGGCACACCAAAAAATATATTTTTTGCCAATCCGACCCCAAAAAAGGTATAATTTTGATTGATTTACAAATAATAACAATAGTAATTAACTTTTTATTCCAAAGTAACTTTAAAAAAATCAGGTGCCCCTAGAGAGTGTTATGCTGAACAAAATAAGCCAGTTAGACAAAGACAAGTATCACATGATCCCACTCTTGTGGAATCTGGTTAGCAAAATAAACTGATGAATGGAATGGATCCAGAGATGTGGAAGCATGGAACAGAGTGCAGAATCTTGGGTGAGGGCAGGTGGGTGGAAGGTGATCAACCAAAGAACAATAAAGATTAAAATAAAAAATCAGGTGCCTATACTTCTATATAAGGATTTCTGGTGCCAACAATTAACCAGGCAGACACAACCTTATGCAATGTGAACAAGAAGATGAAACTATTATATTTTTGGTTCAAGACAGGGGCTTACATACCAGAGGGCTATTGTCTGTGTAGGCTGTTGTCATTTCATTCATTCATTCATTCATTCATTCATTTTTGTTAATCCTCACCTGAGGATTTTTTTTCATTGCTTTTAGGAGAGAATGGAAGAGAGGGGTGAGAGAGGGAGAGAGAGAAACATCGACTGGTTGCCTTCTGCACACACTGCAACCCTTTGGTGCACAAGCCAACACTCTAACCACTGAGCACACCAGCTGCTGTCATTTTTTTTGTTTGCCAGTCTAAGTGAAAAAAGGTCAGTGCATCTGACTAAATAGTTAGGTATTGCATGTTTTAAAAATTCTTGCGGCCAAAACCGGTTTGGCTCAGTGGATAGAGCGTCAGCCTGCGGACTGAGAGGTCCCGGGGTCGATTCCGGTCAAGGGCATGTGCCTGGGTTGCGGGCACATCCCCGGGGGGGAATGTGCAGGAGGCGGCTGCTCGATGTTTCTCTCTCATCGATGTTTCTAACTCTCTCTATCTCTCTCCCTTCCTCTCTGTGATAAATCAATAAAATGTATTTAAAAAAAAAAAATTAAAAAAAAAAAATTAAAAAAAAAAATTCTTGTGGCACACCAGCTAAAAATCTTTGACTGTTTCTGTTTCCCCAAACCCTCACTGAACTTGTTCTGTAGTTGACAATGAATGAATGAGGCAAAAAGCCTTATTCCTGAGTCCTCTTGCTCCCCATAGCTGAGCCCTACTCACTGCTGCTCCCTTCACCCCTGCACTGGCCCTGAACTCTGTTAATTCTAGTTTTTCTTACAGGTCACTTCCTCTTGACCCATCTGCTGCTAGAGAAGCTGAAGGAATCAGCCCCATCAAGGGTAGTGAACGTGTCTTCCTTAGCACATGCCCTGGGAAGGATCCATTTCCATAATCTTCAGGGCGAGAAATTCTACAGCTCAGGTCTGGCCTACTGCCATAGCAAGTTAGCCAACATTCTCTTCACCAAGGAACTGGCCCGGAGGCTAGAAGGTAGGCTTCGAAGAAATGAGTGTGGAGACATGAGTCGGGGAAAGAGCTCAAAGCCACAGGAACAGAAACTGTTTTCTGGAGCCTGTCCTCTGGCCAGGGCCTGCTTCCATGCTGTAGCTGGGTCTCGGTTTAGTAAACCGCCCATCAGTGAATATTGGAGATGGCCGAGAGGGGATGGAGACATTCTGACTGTGAGGCTGAAGGCTTGGTTTCACCACTTCCTAGCTGTGTGACCTGCAGCAACTTAACTTTTCAAGGCTTACTTCCTCATGTAAAATGGGACTGCTTCACAGGTTGTTGTCATAATTAATTCAGGCTTCATGAGCAAGTCAAGGTTTTTTACTCATAGTGAAACTTAGTACAAGCGAGGGACCTGAACTGGCACTAGATACAGCCATTAGGATAAAGCAAGTGCAAGGGAGGGAGGGGAGTGGGGGGTGACTCCCTAAGAGCAAAGGGTCAAATAAGAGGGAAATGTATGCTTGAGGAGGGGGCTCTCCAGTCACAGATAAACACGGTTCCTTAGCATCGTCCACTCTGGATTTCCAGGAAAGACAAAGGAAATCCAGGTGGACAGTTGGATTTGCTTAGGAGTTGAGTTGGGCAGAGTTCAGGCCGAAGGAATCAGACACAGGAGCCCCCATTGGTCAGCTCAGTTCACATGTCCAGTCTATGCCCAGGACATGACATTTTGATTAGAAATTAAATGGGTTACAGTGTGGGCGGGTTGAGGGGGCTGAAGAACGTTCCAGGTAGAAGGGGAGAATGAATGAAGTTCTGGGCTCAGTTTGAGAAACAGAGAGAAGGGCGGTATGGTTTGAACATAAAATATAAAATATGGGTCATTTAGAGTAGATCTTGAGTTGAAAATAAATAATAATCCACAGTCCTTATCTGTCACTTGTGAAATCTACAAAGACCTAAAAATTCAGTTTTTGTATAAGTTGACACCAGAGCACATTAGGCAGCAAAACTTCATCTGTACTAGGAAGAGTAGGTAATAGACAGAATATGTATGTGTATCATATTCGCTGTATAATACAGAAAAAAATCAGAAACATTTCTGGCCCCAAGGATTCCAGTGAAGAATTTGGGACCAAAAGTAGTGTATGTATAAATGCCATTTGTACTGGTAAATGTATAACTGTACCAGATACTATTCTCTTTTGTTTTTTTAGTATTCAAAACAGTTTATTCTTTTTTTTTTAATTGTTTAAAGTATTACATTTGTCTCCTTTTTCCCCCGATTGACCCCTCCCCGGCCACTCCCACCCCCAGGACACTAGACACTATTCTAAGCTCTTGTACATATGAACTCATTTAGACCTCAGAACAATCCAGTGAGGTGCAGATCTTATGATTATCCCCATTTTATAGATGAGGAAACTGAGTCACAACATTCAGAGCTTGCCAAGGTCACACAGCTAATGAGTGGTAGAGCTAGGATTTGAAACGGGGCAATGTGTATTCATGTCATCTTCTCTCTTTGGCACTTCAGCAACATTAAATCCTGTCTTCCCCTCTCTTTATGCACACCCTCCTCAGGCTCTGGCGTTTCCGTGTATTCTGTACACCCTGGCACAGTCCACTCTGAATTGGTTCGGCACTCATTCTTCATGAGATGTATGTGGCGGCTTTTCTCCTGCTTCATCAAGACCCCTCAGCAGGGAGCCCAGACCAGCCTGCACTGTGCCTTAGCAGAAGGTCTTGAGATCCTAAGTGGGAGTCATTTCAGGTATGAATATATCTGTTTTTGAAGATGAAATTCTATTGCCTAAAGGAAATAATTTGGATTTGTTTGGTGTTCTATACCCTTTTTTAAAAGCACATTGTCTAACATAGTTTTTGTCCTTTAATTCTAGGGTTTTTACCTTTTAATAGGGGAATTGGACCTATTCACACTTTTTTTGTGGTAATTGCTAGGTTTGATTTTATTCATGTCATCTTTTATTTTATGTTTTCTGGTTGTTTCTTTTATTCCTATATTTTGTTCTGTCAATCCAGTTTTCTTTGTTCCTTGTTAGAATCCTGGTTTTATTTATTTTTATTTTTTATAAAGAATTTGAACCTATATTTCTTTATTGTCTTCAGGACTGAAATAGTATCAATGGACTCATTTCTTGAATAAGTGAAGACTTTTTAAACTTTTTATTAGAGAATTTTGAATATACACAGTAGTAGACTGAATAGCATCTCGAATCCCCATATACCTATAATCCAGCCTCAACAACCATTACCCATGGCCAATCCTGCCCCATCCCAACCTACAATCCCTCACGAAACCATTATCCTTCCCATATTTTTCTCATCCCATATTATTTGGAAGAAAATCCCAGATATTACATAAGATCAAATTCTTAAGGGTGTTTTTACCTCTACCTTCAAGATTTTATGAAAATGACCTGAAATTTTAGAGGATGGACTATAAATAAATTAAGGTTGGATTGGGAGGTAGGAAGTCAGATCATGAAAGGCCTATAATGCCAGACTGAGAGGAGCCACAGTTTTCAGTAGAGAGAGACATAATCTGGTCTGTGCTTTAGAAAAACATCCCTGGTGACTTTAATGAATTAATACGGATCCCAAGTGAGAGATAATGAGTTCCTGATTTAGGGTAATGACAATTGGAATGAAAAGAGCGGCTAAGTGAGAAAGGCAGAATTTTTGCCGTTTGTTGACTAACTGAGTGAGAGAGTAGGGGAAGATCTGGTGACTTGGGGTCAAGCCTGAGTTATGAGGAGATTGATGGTGACATTAACTGAGACAGCATACATGAAAAATAATGTGTGTAACTCCGGGCTCTTTGATTCCAAAGCAGTGGATTCTAGCTAGCATAAGCAAGCAGAGAAGACTGAAGAGCCAGGCTGTAGTATCTGAATAATTTTTACAGCACACCGTGGCTCCCAAGGCACCTTCCTGCCTATTGTGTCTTTTGCTCTTCACCCTAAACTACGAAGAGTGTGAGGCACAGCGCGGTGGAGGCTGCAGAGGCCAAGTCATTCCCAGAGGCACACAGAGCCTTTGCTTCTCAGTGATGAACTTTTCACTCGGAAACGGCAGGCCATGCTGGCGAGTTCCCTTAAACCGAAGTGCTTTATTTGTAAGGCTTGTTTTTATTTTTTTATTTTATTTTATTTTTTTTTTTTGCTGTCTTTTTTTTTTTTTTTTAATTTAAATCTTTATTGTTCAGATTATTACATTAGTTACTCTTTTTTACCAACATAACTCCCCTCCACCCAGTTTCCCACCCACCCTCCGCCCTCCCTCCCCACCCACCTTGTTTTTAAATGCAAAGACTCATTTAAGTCATTTTTCTCAAACTCTCATGCATTTAAGAACCATCTGGAGAACTGGCGAAGAACAGAGTCTGGGCCTCTCCCCAGAGATTCTGATCGAGGAGGCCTGGCGTGGGCCTGAGAACTGGCATGTCTCACAGGTTTCCAGGCGACGCTCCTGCTGCTGGTCCCCAGCCCGCACTTGGAGTAGCGCGGTCTCAGTGGACACAGGGTCAGGAGTTTGCTTCATGTCATTACTTCAGACTTATCAGCTCAGCTTTTCACCTTTGGAATTTGCTTAGTATGTCCAGGAAGCAGTTTTCTTGAGAAAAGTTTTAAAATTTGCTTTTTATATTATTTCAAAGATTGTGATCTGTTTACTCAATCATTTAAAAAATAAAAATAAAAACCTCCATTGAATACCTACTGTGTACTAGATGCAGAAAATACGAAACTGAGTAAAAGTATTATCCTTGAAAAAAATTTCTGGTGCAAAGTTGAGATACCCACGCTGCATTTAATGGAGACTTAAAATAATTAGAATTACAGCAACGAAGAGGAGGTATATGAAACACTGGGTACCTTGTTACCATTTCTTTTCTGCTATCGTCTTTTCCTTCTTTTGTTATTTATGAAGCTGACTTTACTTGTTTTTTTGTTTGTATGTTTTTGTTTTTAGTTTAAAAACAGGTGGACCGGAAATAAGTGTTTTTGTGTTGTTTTATTTACCATTCTAAGCATCTGTGACCAATGTAAATAGCAGGATCTCAGGTCCATGACACTGTACAGGTCCTATAGATTGGACCTCAGAGATTTATTTGAACAAAATGGACATAGGTATCAAGCAGGCACTGATAATACAATTAAATATATACATACAAAGGAGAATGTTAAGACTAAATGATACGCATTTATATCAAACAAAGCATTCTGATCAGAGGTGGTCTAGTGTGATCTAAAATGGTAATTACAGCCCAGCTGACGTGGCTTAGTGGTTGAGTGTAGACCTATGAACCAGGTCACAGTTTAATTCGGTTTAATTCTCGATCAGGGCACTTGTCCGGGTTGTGGGCTCGAGGCGTGCAGGAGGCAGCTGATCAATGATTCTCATCGATGTTTCTATCTCTCTCTCCCTCTCCCTTCCCCTCTGAAATCAATTAAAAAATCTCAATGGATTGAGATAATACTCCAGAGAATGGCAGTTTTAAAAAAAATAAAATAAAATGGTAATTACATTTTCTCTGGGGTAAGATTGGAGGATGAAGAGCTAGGACAAACACTGGATCTGTGAAGTGCCTAGAGGACATGCCACCCCTGGGTTGTTTTTCTGTCGTATTCCTCATCCCAGGCAGAGAACAGACTCCATTCTCAACCCCTCTCTTTCCCTTCCAGTGACTGCCGTGTGACGTGGGTCTCTGCCCAGGCTCGGAATATGACAATAGCCAGGCGGCTATGGGACGTCAGCTGTGACCTGCTGGGCATCCCTCTGGATTGACAGGTGGTGGCCGTTGGACCCAAGAGAAGTGTGCAGCAGACTACTCCGTGCTCCCTGCCAAAATGACTCTCCTTCAGGGAGGCCAAACCTTAAGCACAAAGGGAGCAAACCTCTGGCCTTGGCAGCTTTCTGAGAGAAGCCTGTGCGCACTGCCAGGCATCGCCACGCCTTGCATCTGTCCAGATCGACTTTGCTCCCCGCCTTGCCAGTTACTAGAGATATCACAGGACAAGTACCCCCTCGGGACCACCAGCTCATCTGTTCCCTCTGAGATGCACCACCTAGAAGAATCTACGCTCTGGCAGGGTTGATTTGTGGCAGTTTGGACTCGTTTCTACCCTCTCTGTTCACGGTGTATTGTCTCCCAACCAAACAACCTTCACTTGGAGAGGGCCACGCTACAGCCTGAGCTGAATCCAGGAGTGACGCTGGCTCACTTGGCTCAAGAGCAGGGCTTGTCCCTCACCTCTTAAGAAACCGTCGTAGGGCCAACATCTGGATTCTTTCAGGAAATGTAACTGAATCTGGATTGTGCGATGGCTCTCTCTCTCTCTGACAACCTAAAGCCACTGCTCAGACACGTTCCCATGCCTAGACCATGGAAGAGCTTCCTTTTCTAAGAAGTTTGGGGGTTTGGGAGGATGGCAGAAATATGGGGAAAGGCAGAAATAAAAATGAAGTTTAAACTCTCATTTCCCTGCTATTTCTCTGACCAGCAAGGAGGTAATGAAAGGATCCGTTTGAGAAGGTAGGCCTCCTGACATCAGCTACTGACCCCAGACCCATGGAGGCCTCCTTTTTGTGCTGTAGTTTCTCTTTGGTGATTGTTATTGAATATATGTGTTCCTATGTACTTTTGCAGTTGGGAGTATTTTCACAAAATTTGAAGTAGCCACAAAGGAACAGTATTAAACTGGACCCTGATGCAGGTAAATGATCAGAGGTGGAGCAAGCCAGTGCCATCCAGTCTTTGATACAAATGGCTAGAGCAGCAAGGGGAAGCAGATTCTGTTTATGTTGATAACTACCCACCAAGAAGCACATGGGTAGCAGGAATTCAAAGATAATAGGCCTAGAAGGTAATGAAGGAACTAAAGGATTTTTTTTAAGCTGAAGATGGTAATATCCAGCTGTAGAATTAAGGGTGAGCACCCAAGTTAGCAAGGCTGACAGAGCACTATCTTAAACACCAGTCAACCAATGTGGCAGAAAAAAAAACACAAAAACCCAATTCCTTATTTAGCAAAATTATCTTAAGGACTGATACTGGTAGTTAGTCAATTTAATAATTTTTTAGGGTTATCTCCTTACAGATCTTGACAAGCATACAATGACTATTTGCTAAAAAAAAAACCAAAAAAAAAACCCACAAAAACGCTACATTGTATTTGGAGAACTTTTTAAAATGTGTTTTTGATTTTTTTAGAGAGAGAGATAGAGACATCAATGTGAGAGAGAAACATTGATCTGTTACCTTCCTTTCAGTGCACGGGATGATGCTCAACCAACTGAGCCACACTTGCCAGGGCTTATTTAGAGAACTTTTTAATCAAAAGTAATGTTGCCAGCCCTGGCTGGTTTGGCTCAGTAGATAGAGCGTCAGCCTGCGGACTGAAGGGTCCCCGGTTCAATTTCTGTCAAGGACACATGCCCGGGTTGCCAGATCGATCCCTGGTGGAGGGTGTGCAGGAGGCAGCTGATCAATGATTCTCTCTCATCGCTGATATTTCTATCTTTCCCTCTCTGAAATCAATAAAAATATATATTTTTAAAAAAGTAATGTTGCCAAAGGAAATCTGAAGAATTGCTACTGTTTTCATCACTTGTTTACAGTATGTTATTCTAGTAAGAGTTTGAGATTTTCTTGGACCAACAATTATATATATACTTTGGTGGGGAAAAGAGTTACAGGACCAAGTCTTCTCATATTTGTACATTAATAATCTTTTGTTGAACTTGTTTTGACTATATTTAGAAGTGGCCACTTTATGGAAAACTTTGTAATAGTGCAGTGGAATAACTGAATTAATATTTTACTTAATTTATATCTGTCAATGACAAATAAAAATTTTTGATTATTTATTGTGTTTTACTTTACCAGAATAAAAACTATAAGAATTAAAAGAAAGTTTAAATAGAGTCAACAGAAGAAAACAATTGACGTTTAATTATAGTTGAAAGAAGAAACACTTCATTATTACAGGCATGCAATCATTTCTCATTCTAAGAATAATCTGTCCCAGTCTTTCCACAATACAGTCTCAACTGAAATGCCATTAACTTCAGTTGTGTGATAATTTGACCATTCATTCACCCATTTTCTACTTTCCTTTGGTTTTGCTGTTCAAAGATTACTTTTTCCACCCCAGGTTAGCCCTCCTTTTGTGCCTGCCCTTTGGATAACTGGGATTTTACAGTACACTGCCGGACAATCTCAGGCTTTGCTCTATGTGCTTAATTTTAGGTCAACAAGTTTCTTGAATCAATGGTTAATGAACTTAGTCTAATAAAAATAAGGGCCCAGGAGATTAAAATCATCAAATCGTCCTCCTGAACAGACAGGTATCTTTTAATGTGTGTGGGCAGTTTTAAATACTGGACTGCCAAACAAAACATTTCATAACGGGCTCCATAGGCAAACCATGAAATCGGTGAAAATAGGAATTCCCTTCCGCTGAACCACGAAAACCCTTGCGGCGCAGGAAGGACTTGAACACCTTACACTCACGGGAACGAGACTGGAGGCGGGTCCCCCCGGCTCACCCCCGTTATACATCGCCAAGCGCAGAGTGACTCTTCATCGCCAGCGCATGGCCCGACCCCTGCACAGTGACTGCTGACATTAAACATCGCTGAGTTCATGTTTCGGGGGTCACAACGCCCGGTGACCACTTCTGAAAGCAGGTGTCCCCCTCGGAGGGCAGGCCGGAACCTGGCCCGAGTACCTTTCAAGGGCTGAAAACGACCATTCGGTCAGGACGCGAACTAAGTTAGTCAGGGGGCCAAAAAGTGCGAGGACAGGTAATGTCCAGTCGCACGCCGACACCCAACTAATACGCTCAGCGTCAGCCCTCGGCAGCCGCGGCGCTGGAGTCCACCGCGCC